TGAAAAGTTCCAGCATTTCAGCAGGAATTTGCAAGCTAGGCACTGGCTGCCTTGTGCAGGGGGGGGGGGGAGCATTGGAAATGGGATCCCACAGGAATCCTCTGTAGTTCCATGAACACAAATCTTCATGGATATGCTATAAAAAGGAAATATGGAGGGACTTAGAGTTAATAATGCCTAAAAACAGTGCCTCTCCCCCCCCCCGGGGATTCTCAAAGGTACACAGTACCAAAACCTCTTTCCTTTTCAGTGTTAAAAAGTGTGCCACTTCCTGTAACCGCTTCATGGAGAGCACCGACATGTATTTTTCTAGGGGAAAAAAAGCACTGCCTAAAAGAGAATTGGGATTTGATTCCTATCATGTTCTTCTAGTCAAATACACCTCCAATAATCCCCCCCCAGGCAGAGACATTGCTAGGTAGGTACTTAACCGGCTCACCGCATCGGCCCATGACACAAATTTAAATAAAACTTGAATAAAATGTTCATGCATTATTGTACAAATGGATTCCTGTAAGCGAATATATATATGCGATAATGTTGTGGTTTTTTAAAAGAGAGATGGGGAAGGAGATCTAGGGCAAAAGACCTAGGGCTCAGGCCCCCTAGACCTCCCCCTTAACATCACCACTCCAGCCAGGACTTATAGGACATAGGAAGCTGCCTTATACTAAAGTCAGACCATTGGTTGATATAGGTAAAGGGACCCCTGACCATTAGGTCCAGTCGCGGACGACTCTGGGGTTGCGGCGCTCATCTCGCTTTATTAGCCGAAGGAGCCGGCGTACAGCTTCCGGGTCATGTGGCCAGCATGACTAAGCCGCTTCTGGCAAACCAGAGCAACGCACGGAAACGCCGTTTACCTTCCCGCTGGAGTGGTACCTATTTATCTACTTGCACTTTGATGTGCTTTCGAACTGCTAGGTTGGCAGGAGCAGGGACCGAGCAACGGGAGCTCACCCCGTCGTGGGGATTCGAACCGCTGACCTTCTGATTGGCAAGCCCTAGGCTCTGTGGTTTAACCCACAGCGCCACCCGCATCCCTTTGGTTGATATAACTCAGTGTTATCTACAGTGACTGGCAGTGGCTGTCTGGGGTTTCAGACGGAGTTTCTCCCAGACCTGCCTGGAATTGCAGGGGATTGAACCTGGGACCTCCTACTTGCAAAGCAGATGCTCCACCGCTGGACCACAGCATATCTTGAGGCATCGTAGAATTGCAGAGTGGGATCCTGAGGGTTATCTAGTCCAGCCCCCCAACAACACAGGAATGTGTGGCAGATGGCCATCCAACCTCTGCTTTTAAAAATGAAGGAGAGTCCACAACCTCCCACGGTTCATGGTAGTTCTCTGCCCAACGGATTGTCAGGGGACACCTGGGACGTCGCGCCTGAAAGTTGAAGCAAGCTGGTGGTGAGAACAGAAAAAGGCTTTAAAAATGGGTGCTCTCACGTTATTGGAAACAACAGCTTATACCAGATCAGGCTCTTTGTCCATCTAGCCTAGTATTGTCTACTTCTGGGGTCCCCAAATGTGGTGCTGGTGAGCACCATGCAACCTCAGACACCCCTCCTTGATGCTTCCATGTGTGTGTGCGCAAGCTGCAGTAGAGGCTGGTCCATTTGGGTGAAGAGGGCACTGCCCCACCAAACTCATTCCGCCCTCAGCCACCCCTTACCTGCCTGCCTTCTTGCTTACCGCCTGTCCTCTTCCTCCCCCTTGGTCTCAGTTTTGCCCTTGTGGAGCTCAGCAGGGTGATGGGTACAAAACTAGAACTAGCCAGCTCAGCCCATCGTTGACTCTGGCGCCACCTACTGTCATCCTCCCTGCCTCCTGCCCCAAAGGGAAGCAGCCTCCATGGTATGTGTGGGGCATAGGAAGCAAAACCATTTTTTTAAGCCACTTTCGTGTCTCAGAAATAACCAGTTCTGGAGACTGCCAAGTCCCTGACTGCCGTGAGCCCCTTAGACTGGAGGTGAAGCAATATAGGGTGGTACAAGTCAGATTGAGAGAAGGTGCAAACCACGATGTGTACATGGGGCACAAAACATTTTAGTACAACAGAAGCCTATAAGGAGCCTCCTTATACAGTGGTACCTCGGGTTACAGACCCTTTAGGTTACAGACTCTGCTAACCCAGAAATAGTACCTCAGGTTAAGGATGAGAACAGAAATCGTGCAGCGGCGGCAGTGGGAGGCCCCATTAGCTAAGCTGGTACCTCAGGTTAAGAACAGTTTCAGGTTAAGAACAGACGTCCAGAACGAAGTTCTTAACCCGAGGTACCACTGTACTTAATGGACGTGGGTGGCGCTGTGGGTTAAACCACAGAGCCTAGGGCTTGCCGATCAGAACCCCCGCGATGGGGTGAGCTCCCGTTGCTCAGTCCCTGCTCCTGACAACCTAGCAGTTCAAAAGCACGAACTGGCAGGAAGGTACGGTAAACGGCGTTTCCGTGCGCTGCTCTGGTTCGCCAGAAGCGGCTTAGTCATGCTGGTCACATGACCCGAAAGCTGTACGCCGGCTCCCTTGGCCAATAAAGCGAGATGAGCGCCGCAACCCCAGAGTCGGCCACGACTGGACCTAATGGGTCAGGGGTCCCTCTACCTTTTAAGCAGGTTTCTGCGTTGCTTTTGGGTAAGCAGGTTTTTCACACTGCACTCAAAGCAACCACAAGACAGAATAAAGGTATGTGTGGGGCACAGGGAGCAAAACTTTCTTTTTAAGCCACTTTTGTGTCTTAGAAGCAACCAGTTCCCTCCTGCCAGAATGAGGCTGCCAAGTTCCTGACTGCCGTGAGCCCCTTAGACTGGAGGTGAAGCAATATAGGGTGGTACAAGGCAGATTGAGAGAAGGTGCAAACCACGATGTGTAGATGGGGCACAAAATGTTTTACTACAACAGAAGCCTATAAGGAGCTTCCTTATCCTTATTCAGATTTATTATTATTATTATTATTATTATTATTATTATTCACCCACCCTTCACCCTAAGGTCCCAGGGCGGGTTACAACAGTAAAACACAGTATTAAAAAACAGTTTAAAACAAATTACCATCACAAAAAAATAAGGTGGGCCCTAAAAGCATACACCCCGAGTGTCAAAAATCAGAGTAAACAGGTGAGTCTTCGGCATTCGCCGGAAGCTGTTTAATGATGGTGCCAGGCGTACTTTCCTCTGTAGGGAGAATATATAAGCTTATTATTACTGGCATCAAGGGGAGGCTTAGAGAAAAGGTGTGTGGGGATTAGTTATTTTTATTAAGGCCTCGTGTGTTTTGAATCGAGACTCCTAGGCACCCACCCAGCTAATTTATCCTAAGAAGTTGCCTAAAAACAACCTCACACACTATCTGGCAGATATTCCCAGCCTGTTGCTTGGGATCTTTTAGCAGGAGATGCCGGGGATTGACCTTGAGGCCTTCTACATGGAAAGTATGTGATTTGCCACTGACCTCCCCATTAGGGCATGGTGACCTAAAGTTTGAGAAACACAGCTGTACATGTTGAGTTAATTTTAGATACCTCCGAATCCAAGTCCTCAGGACACAACCGAAGGCTCTTTTAAAACATAAATCAATCTGTCTGTACCTACAGAGACTCGGATATACCTATACAGATTGATTTATGTTTTAAAAGAGCCTTCGGTTGTGTCCTGAGGACCACAGAAAGAAAACCTTTAAAAAAACCACTTCCTTGCTACTCTTATATGTTAAGGCTTAAGCCAACACCAAATGATTGCAAAACATAAATAGGACAGTGCTTTTTATTAGGCCAACTAAAAGGTCACAAAATAGTGAACCAGCTTTTGTTTCGAGTTCTCTTTTTGCCATTGTTCCAGATACTGTAAGTACAGTGGTACCTCGGGTTACAGACGCTTCAGGTTACAGACTCCGCTAACCCAGAAATAGTACCTCGGGTTAAGAACTTTGCTTCAGGATGAGAACAGAAATTGCACGGCGGCAGCAGGAGGCCCCATTAGCTAAAGTGGTGCTTCAGGTTAAGAACAGTTTCAGGTTAAGAACAGACCTCCAGAATGAATTCTTAACCTGAGATACCACTGTATTAATTGCTTTCCCACTCACATACAGGATTAGTCAGTCTAGATATTCCTGCACACTTAATGATCTTCACTGTGCTTGCAATATGTGAGGAATATAAGGAAAACAAGGAGCCAGAAGCCATTGAGCTATCGTCACTGGAGACCTGGGCTTGAACACTGTGTGTGTGTGTGTGTGTGTGTGTGAGAGAGAGAGAGAGAGAGAGAGAGAGAGAGAGAGAAAGTGTGTGCATTGAGATTTTCCTCTTCCATAAGGGCTAATGTGGACCCTTTCCCACAATCCCTTACTCCAGACCATTCAGCTACAGCCTTGTGTTCGAGCTTTGCTAAGTATTGTGAACTGGTGTTTGGGCAAGACCCCATAGCCATTTGCTGTATGAAAACACAAGAGTCCGATGGATCAGGCCAATGGCCCACCAAGTGCAGGATCCCATCCTCTTGGTGGCCAAAGAGATGCCTGTGGGGAACCCGCAAACAGGAACCCAAGCACAAGAGCACTGTCCCCTCCCCACTGTATGGTTTCCAGAAACTGGGATTTCTCCAGCTGTGGCTAGTAGCCATTGAGAACCTTATCCTCCATTAACTTGCCTAATCCTAAACCCATCTATATTGGTGAGCATCAGTGCCTCATGTGGCAGTGAGTTCCAAAGTTCAACTATACGCTGCATTAACTATGTGCTTCTTCTTCCTGGCTCTTGATCTCACAACATCTTGATTCGACTAATAAAGGTATTATCCTCCTGTGGAATTTAGAATTTTTTGTGTAGGCCAACACAGTTGCCTTTGCTTGTGTGAACTAAATGCTGTCTGGTGGTAGCCCATTTCACAGAATCACAGGGTCAACGAGTCCAACCCCCTGCTATGCTTGCTGCTAGCAGCAAGAATGAATGTTACCCGAAATTATTTTGAAATGAAACCGGGTTGCATTGTTCTTCATTTCTTCATTTATTTTGTTTTTGTTCATGTTAAAAAATAAAATGCAATTGACAAGAGATGGGGTGAAAGAGGCCCGCTGGAGAGAAGGCAAGAAGGGTATTTGCAGGCACAGAGGTCTTCATGAATAATCAGGCTGTATTCTGCCTGAGGTCCTCTGGCAAAGGCGGCCTCACCTTTCCTGATGACCGCATGCAGTGTTTCTTCATTAGCAGGAAAATCATCTGCGACTCCAAACTGAATTAATACTGGAGGGGGAAAAAAGAAAAGGCACATTCAATTGATCAACGGAGGAGTCAAAATATTCTAATAGCAGAAAAACAGGGGTCTAGTATTCAGGCTTCCCAGGAGAGAACTGAGGTTGGGTTTAATGAGCTCCGTTGGGGCCCCAATTTGTCAATCAAGATTCGCTCTTGACAGTCGCCCCAACACCAAATGCGTTTTCTACCTGACTCTAGCCTCTGGATATGGGAGGGGTGCAGATAAACAGTGCCTAAAACACGTCTCTCCCCCGCCATACTCACCCACGCACCCCAAATAAGAAAACAGTCCATGTAACAAAGCAGCTGCTGCAGCCAGCCAGAGGTGTACATGATGTTTGGGATTCAGGAGCTGCTTTCTCTGAAGGAATGCTGAACTCTCTGAGACCAGGAAAAGACTCCCTCATGTATCATTACAGTCATATTATTAGCGCTCTGATCCTTGCACTGCACAGCTGGGATTTGGGACTCCTGTCTTGTTCTTTTCCCTGAGATCAAGGAATAGTGCGGTTTCAAGCTGTCGCTCAGTTGCTCTGTGAGAGCGCCCCTCTCACACCCACCCACCACAAAATAACCTTAGGAACAGAAATTGATTCTCCCTCCCCACCCCCCTCCCCAGAGTGCTTATCAAGTTAAAGACGCAGTCAGTGCTACATTTGTTATCCCCCCCCCCAGCCCAAAACTTATATTTGCATCTGCAGAAGAAGGGGGCACTATTTGCAGAACCTGTCCATTATGGAAACAGAAGGGGAAAAGAAGAGTGGTGGAGGAAGGGAGGGGCAGGGAAAATAGTTATTTCAAACCTAAGGTCAGTGACCAAAATGGTTACAATGGGGTGGAAGGTTACTCCAGGCTGTTGAAGCTGATTCAAATTCACTTCTCCTTGAACTTCCTATTTTTAAGCTTCAAAAACTACAGGCCAACATACAAGGATTACTTACTTTGTTGCAAAAATGAGTGTGGCTAGCCTTTCCTGATTAAAAATTGTGCTGCGCTTCAAGCTGAGATAATCTTAGGGCCAAATCCAGAGATATAGACTGTGTACACATCATACATTTAAAGTACCCTCCTAATAATCCTGGGAACTGTAGTTTACCACTCCCAAAGCCACAGCTTCTAGCACTCTTAACAAAATACAGTTCCTGTGAATCTTTTTTCTTTCTTTCTTTAGGTTCCATTGAAATCAAAAGAACAACTTAGCAGCAAGTAACTTACGTCCCATTAAATTCCTAAGAACCTCAGGCTCCCTCCTTCATGAAATCCACAGGATTCCCCAAGAGAATCCAGTTTTTAAACCAGTTTACATCTGTAAGTTGATTAAGTAGCGTCTGGGTGAACTCGGGAGAAACTGGTAGGGGAAAGGCTGCTGCGGTGCAATTGTGATCTGGGAAGGCATCTAAGCAAGAACTGGGATTTTTCAGTACTGGCATTTAATACAGCAGATGCAACAGAGTACAGTGGTACCTCTGGTTAAGAACTTAATTCATTCTGGAGGTCCGTTCTTAACCTGAAACTGTTCTTAACCTGAGGTACCACTTTAGCTAATGGGGCCTCCCGCTGCCACCACGCCACCGCAGTGGCGTAGCGTGGGTTGTCAGCACCCGGGGCAAGGCAAGTAATTTGCGCCCCCTAACCCGTAGATTTGCGCCCCCTAACCTGTGGATTTGCCCTAACCCCAGATGTTGCGCCCGGTGCGGCCGGCCCCCCCTGCACCCCCCACGCTACACCACTGCGCCACCGCTGCATGATTTCTGTTCTCATCCTGAAGCAAAGTTCTTAACCCAAGGTACTATTTCTGGGTTAGCGGAGTCTGTAACCTGAAGCGTCTGTAACCCGAGGTACCACTGTACCAGAAGATCCAAACGAAGCCCATGGAAAGAGTTAAACGAAGCAAAACCAAGCTTCCTGGTAATATGCACAAACAGAACAGAGATAGAGCTGTCACTAGCATTGGGGAAGGAAGAGGGCAATTGTAGCCAGTGTAGTGTAATGGATGGAGTGTCAGACTAGGACAGAGGTCGGCAATGTGCGGCCCATCGGCCAGATGCAGCCCAAGAAGACCGTTTTACCGGCCCACGAGCCACCCCCGTACCGAGCCGCCCACTCGGTGAGTCCAGATACCAGAAATCGCGTCTGCGCATGTCCAGATGCCGAAAACTGCTTCTGCACAGGAGCGATTTTCAGCATCTGGGCATGCGCAGAAACAATTTCCGGTGCTGCAGACATGCACAGATGCGATTTTTTAAGGATTTGATATCCTGCTTTATCACTACCCTAAGGGGTCTCAAAGCAGCTAACAATCTCCTTTTCGCTTCCTCCCCCACAACAAGCACTCTGTGAGGTGAGTGAGGCTGAGACACTTCAGAGAAGTGTGACTAGCCCAAGGTCACCCAGCAGCTGCATGTGGAGGAGCAGGGAATCAAACCCAGTTCACCAGATTACAAGTCCACCACTCTTAACCACTACACCACACTGGCTCTCCAGCGTCGCACTGCGCCAGTCAGGCCCACAGACGCTCTCAATGGGAGTGATCTGGCCCATGGCTGGTAAACCTTGCCGACCCCTGGACTAGGACCTGGGAGATCAGGGTTCAAATCCCCACTCAGCCATGACCTTGGGTCAGTCTCTGCTTCTCAACCGAACCTACCTCACAAGGTTGCTGTATGGATTAAATGAGGATGGGAGAACCATGTATGCCATTTCGAGCTCCTTGTGAAGAAAGGTGGAATATAAGTGCAATACCTGACATCGAGACAGTTGCCTGAAGGAAGACATGGGTGGCAGCAGCCAAGCTGGGCCTCTAATCACTGCCCAACTAATCCAACTCAGATGTTTGCATGTGCTCTGCTCCAAAACTAGTCCGTAGGGTGGGTGTTTCCAGAAAGGATGTCTTACGCCTTTGCCCTGCTACTAACACTGAGGTGTCACAAGCACTATGCACCAGAAGAAAGTCTCAGTGGGTCTGATGCGTTTGGCATGGACTTAAGGGATTTGTTCCTTTGTTCTAGGGCAGTACGAAGGTTCACTTGCCTGCCCCACTAAGATTGATACCAGTTATTTTCAAATAAGTTTGGAAGTCACCCTGGACACCTAAACAGTAGAAAGGCAAGGGATATATTAAAAATATGTATACATTGTGTGTGTGTGCGCGCGCAGGGGGGGGCGTTTGCGGGTGTGTGTGTGTTTGTGTAAGGCCTGTCAGAAGAGGATAATTTGGCCAGCAGGGGGTAGTGGTGCATGTTTGAAAATGCATGTAGCCTATGATGCCTGAAAATGTAGTATATTTGCAAAAAAAAACCCCATAGAATTGTAGGGTTGGAAGGGACCCATGAGGGTCATCTAGTCCAACTCCCTCCTATGCAGGCAATCTCAGCTGCGGCATTCATGAGAGCATATATTCAAAAATGAAAATAATATTTCAAAAGTGTTGAAAAGCAAATACATTTCTGTTCCTGCAAAAAAAAGGGGGGGGGCAAAGAGCATTCCCCACAAACGTCTGACTCTTTGTACTTTATTATTAATGCAGAAAAGCTACAGCGTCAACTACTAAGCCTATAAATCAGCAAAACATAATACGGCCCAAGAACAACACTGCCCTTCCAGTGTGATAAAAATAATAATGAGCATGATCATTATTTTGTGAACCTTTTGGCACAATCCCCAAGTTCCCATACCCTGCCGTAAAGAAGCCTAAGGCTATTGTGCTCTTCCTCGGTGTGTGCAAGGGGTGCTGTGCTGCTGTGACCCTCCAGCCACTGTTGGACTCCAGCTCCCATCAGCCCCAACCAGCAGAGTCAATGGTCAAGGATGATGGGAGTTGTAGTCCAACAACGGCTGGAGGACTGCAGCCTGGACCATACACCTTCACCCCTGCTTCCATTTCTTCTCATTTTCCTGTTTCTCCCTGTGTTGATTGATAGATTGCTATTATCTCATGACAGGGACCTTGCCCTCTTGTATTTTGAACAGTACCATACATAGCAACAGCAATATATGTATCAGGGATGGGAAAACTTTGGCCGATGTTGCTGAACTACAACTCCCATCCCCCTGGCTATTGGCTATGCTTTGCTAAGGCTCATGGGAGTTGTATTTGGCAACATCAGGAGGACCAAAGGTTCCCCACACCTGATATAAATCATCGTAAACTTTTCCAAAATTCCTCCACTGATCCATTTCCTTCCTATGAGTTGATTGGCTTTTCCACTGCCGTTGTTTCCCAAACTGCTGCATCCTCTTCTACTGCTTTTTAAGAGCTAGTGATTATGTCCAGGGCCTGGCCCAGAAAATCATTGCAGCTGTAAAATAGATACATTGCCAAAGCTTTGTCTGTGGCTATTCCACCACTTGGCAACTATATTTTAAAAAAACCACTTCCTGAACTCTCATCTATAGCAGCAATCATAGACAAACATATATAGGACTCCTCTGTATACATAGCACTGTATCCAACTAAATTCTACTCAGAATAGACCCATTGAAATGAATGAACTTGGTAGTCATGGCCATTCACTTTAATGGGTCTACTCTGATTGGACATAGAATTGGATATAATCTTCCGCCATTTTGTATTCAGTATGGATTCTTACTATCAATACTTTTAAAACAAGAAAGTTCCACCAAATGTGAAACAAGTCTGATCTTAATTGGCTCCATGTAAAATTACTAAGGAGTAAATATCACTGAACTCTTATAGCCAACTAACAGCTTGAGTGTATGCATGTTTATCAGTCAAGGACAAATACCACTGATGCAAAAGTTTTATGTTTGAACTTGAAACCGTTTCTAGATTCAAAGTGCACAAATTAAATGAATAAATTTAATTATTAAAAATATTTGTAGAATATTTGCGCGTCCACTTTTTAATTTTGTAAAAAATATTTAGAAGGCATTTTCCAGATAAAGTTCACAACGTAAAGCATCACATTTTTTTAAATCAAATCTCAACATGTTCTTGTTCTAAACTGCAAGCTCTGTAGAGAGCTTTGATACCGAGGGGTGTGGGGCAGATCATAGAATCAAAGAACTGAGAGTTGGAAGGGACAACAAGGGTCATTTAGTCCAACCCCCTGCAATGCAGGAAACCTTTTGCCCAACATGGGGCTCGAACCCACAACTCATGCTCTACCAACTGAGCTACCACACAAACAATAAGCAAACAAAAAAGTAAGATGCCTTTTTTTGCAGGAAATTCCCTTATTCCAGCGCCGTTTCCAACTGCTTCCCACTGCTATCCTGTATTGATAGATATCCTGTAGACTGTCCCCGGGACAGGTGAGGCTGCTGATCCCTTATTTTCGAGGCTGCTGATCCCTTATTTTCAAATCTGAAAGTTGAAAGCTATGGCCTGCTGGATCAGTCAACCATGTGGTCTAGCAACCCATTCTCACAGTGGCTGATCCGATGCCTATGTAAAGTTTGCAAATAGGACCTGAGCACAACTGCACTCTCTCCACTTGTGATTTCCAGCAACTAGCATTGAGTGGCATTCTGCCTCTGACAGTAGAGGTAGAACATAGACATCCCCCTCCTTAGTTTGTCTTATCCTCTTTTAAAGCTACCCAAGTTTGCACCCATCACCACTTATTGCGGGAACAAGTTCCAGCATTTAACTATGGGCTGCATTGAAAAAGTACTTTATTCTGTCTAGCCAGATTTTCAAACATAAAAATAAAGCAATTAAAGATAATTTCATGACCATAATTCCAAACATTTAGACGCAGTGCCCTGCCCAGAACCTATTTTCATTTGAGTTTATACCTCATGCCTTTTATGAATATCTGTCTATCTAGCCCAATATTGTCTCCAGAGATGCAAACATTCAAATCACCTAGGACCGAAATATATATGTCAGAAATCAAACCTATTTGCATGCACTGCATGTGCTCTGTTAAGCTGTGATACCTCCCAGCTCTTAACAGGCTCTAAAAGCCTTGAGTACTTTTCACTTTACTCTCCAGGTGAAGACAGACATGACTTCCAGAGTGTTGTGGAAATGGTTTAAAGACACATCGGACACTATAGAAATAATGTTTCAAGTAGCAGTCCTTCTTCCATAGAAAGTACAAGTTAAAATATACAGTCATGGCCTAAGAGCCTGTACAACCTTGGGTCTCAGTGGGCACTCCTCACCCCGAATATTTCAGAGATGGGTTGAAAAGGCAAGGCTAGAACAAGCCCACTGCCAAAATGAAGTAAATGCATAGTCAGCTAATTCCTGCCATCATTATTCAGCAAATTGTTACACCTGGAGCATGATAAGCTGGGATACCATGTTTGCTTTCTTTTGCCAGTTGGAAAACTGTTTCACTATTTGTCTTGGACACTGTGCTGCAATTTCACACGTGGCAAAAAAACCAATAAATCTTTGTGGCTTCAGTGTTCTTTGCGCGTAAAAGGCAAAAGAAGAAGAAAAGAGATTATTGTGTAACAACAACCTGTTGACACACCAAAGTAAACCTGTGACAAACTAGAAAAACTCTGAAATGTAATCTGGAGGAGTAAATGCATACAATTTAGCTCTAAATAGCAGCGAGGCTCATCTTTAGGCCTGAATCTTCAGTGAGAGCCATTTAAATGAGGCGGCTCAGAGGACCTACATGGGAATGCAAACAGCAACGAGTGAAACAGCGCACACAATAAAGAGCAATCAAATTCCAAGGGGCTGTGTGAGCCAGCTCACCTAACCAGAAATTAGTTTTGGAATGGAGTGAATCCATGTGTATTATAGCTGGCCACATCCTAAGCGGCTTTCCGCAGGCCACTGCATGTACCCTAACAGGGCTGTCTTAAGCATATGCGGCGCTGGGGTGCAAAGATCCGCCCGGCGCCCCCCCCCCACGTTGCCCAGTCCCAGGCACACAGGAGAGCGGAGCCAGCCAGCTGCCTCAGCATCTTGCTGGCTCGGTCGCCCCTGAACTCACAGCGCAGAGCTGCCTGCAGCAGAAGAGCCCGCCGCGGTGCTCCGACCGATGGGTGGGCTCTTTCCCGAACTTAACTCTTGGGCCCCAGGACTCTCAGCCTGGCGCCCCTGAGAGCCCGGCGCCCGGGTGCCCCGCACCCCTAGCACCTATAGGAAAGACGGCCCTGTACCCCGATCACTGTTCAACATGTGCTTGTGTAAGTCTATGCACCTTGTCACCAAATTCTGACACCAAATTCACATGATAAAAGTGCTCGTTTTACTGCTTGCATAGATGGCTATGACGCAGGCTTAGATTTCCTGTGTGCAGGGGTAAAATATTTTGCTTGCATGAAGTCAGGCCTGCCAAGCAGGACCCCAAAGGTTACTGTTTAGCCAACATGTGCACAAATCCAGATGGGTAGCAGATAAAGGTAAAGGTACCCCTGCCCATACGGGCCAGTCTTGACAGACTCTAGGGTTGTGCGCCCATCTCACTCAAGAGGCCGGGGGCCAGCGCTGTCCGCAGACACTTCCGGGTCACGTGGCCAGCGTGACAAGCTGCATCTGGCAAGCCAGCGCAGCACACGGAACGCCGTTTACCTTCCTGCTAGTAAGCGGTCCCTATTTATCTACTTGCACCCGGGGGTGCTTTCGAACTGCTAGGTTGGCAGGCGCTGGGACCGAGCAACGGGAGCACACCCCGCCGTGGGGATTCGAACCGCCGACCTTTTGATCGGCAAGTCCTAGGCACTGAGGCTTTAACCCACAGCGCCACCCGCGTCCCCCCCGGGTAGCAGATAACATATAGAATTAACAGATTTAAAAGTTTTTCAATATGACTGCTTTTCCAAGGGTTTTGTCTCAATATCTGGCTTTTGAAGAAAAATAAATAGAAAAATAAAATGAATCCACTATAAATCTTAGGGAACTCTTAGGGAAAAGTTTCAGAGAACTAAATGGGACTTACTTTTGAGTAATCATGCATAGGATTGGGTGGTACATCTTTTCTAAATGGCATAATCCTCAGAAAGCTTCAGATGCCTAAACACACAATTCCTCAACTTTGATGATTAAGCTGGAAAGAAAACTGTGACATTTTTAATTGTTCAGTACTACAACACTTAAAATACCTGTGATTTTTCAATATCTGCTGGACTTGCATGTTTTCAAGGGCTGGAGTGGTAGGCTGTGTCCATGTACACCTTTTCAGACCCCTTGTTTGCTTTCTAACTACTGCTCCTGTGAAACCTTAATTTAAAAAAACCCTGCTTCTACACTGCACATAGAGAGCAACATTGTACAGTACCTTTAAAACACATTTGACACATATTCTTTTCCTTAAAGAATTCCGGAAACTTTAGTTTACCCCTCAGTTATAACTCCCAGAAACCATTAAACTACAGTTCCCAGAATTATTGGAGGGGTTTGGATTTTTTTGATGTGCTTTGGATGTGCTTTAAAGGTACAGCGTATTCACAGCCTCCAGTGCACTTTTTGCTGAGAGCAACGTGGCTGTTCCATAACTCCTGTAGCAGTGCTGGCCGCAGGTTTTGGGTGGGGGGGTGTGCTTTGAGCAAGATGCCTCCACCAACGTATTATTTGTTAACACTGCCTTTTAATTGCTAGTACTGCTACACACTGTCTGTCAGTTATATAATTCTGAATATATGATTGCACTGGAGATGTGTGTCACATCTGATTATGGTTTATTTTAACTAGCTGATATCAGCTGATATGCTTTAATGACTATTCATTTTACAATGCATTTAAAATGTTATTATCTATATCATCAAAATGAATTCTCTATTTGGATTGTCAACTTCAAGTTTTGAAATGAACTAGAATGTTATTGTAATTGGATAGATAGAGAGGAAGGAACAATAGTTCTCCCTCAAAAGAGAAATGTGTTTTCAGCTAGTTTGGGCACATTTATGTGGAAAAGTGGCATGCGTGCATACACACACACACACACACACACACACACACAAGCTGCCCTCTTTTGGGGCAGAGTCCTTTACTCCTTGCTGCTGTCCCTGCTGCTCATTTACTTGGGCTGCATGCACTGCATACATATCAAACCTCTTCAAACAATTCTGGGAACTGTAGCTGGGAATTATGGTTCTATGAGGGGTAAACTAGTTTCCAGAATTATTGGAGGGGTGCTATAAATGTATGGTGCAACCACAGCCTTGCTCTCTTACTGTGGGCCCAGTCTTTGGGGAAGGACCACAGTTCAGTGGTACATAATGTGCCTTGTATGCGCAGAAGGTCTCACTCTTTGGGACCTCCAGGTATGGCCAGGAAAAAACCCTGGCTTATATCCTGGAGAGCTGCTACCAGTCAGTCAGGAGTGTGAAATCGAATAAAATATGGGGGAGGGCCCAGGTAAGTCCCGCCCTGTACAATCAATCACATGACATGGTGCACACACACCATTTGAATGGCAATGCCCATCAACTTGAGGGGGAGCCCCTCAAATATTTTATTGGGGGGCTGAAGGGACCTTGGCCCCTAGGAGTTGGCTCCTATGCAGTCAGCGCAGACAGCCCTGAGCTAGATGGATTAATGGTCTGACTTACCATAAGGCTAATACACATGGCTGTCAAGAGACCAAGAGGCGAGTGACCATTGGCCATGCATGCTGAGGCTGATGGGAGTTGTAGTTTAGCAACATCTGGAGAGCCACAGGTTCCCCATAACCACCGTAAGGGAAGCAAGAAAGCTGAGGAAATCCATTAAAATCATAGGTGCTGGAGGTTTAAAGTTGGGCCACGTCTCAATAATCAATGCAGGTATGGCAGGAGGCAGTTGCTTGCACCAAACACATAAGTAGCCTTTAAGAGGCTGAAGAGATAAATCAAAGCAAGGGAAGAAATAATTATTTTTAATGCGAGTTTGGAGAGCAAGGAGCGGGAGACAACATTTGTGCATGCTCGAGGAAGAATCTCATGTTCTTGTATCTGTCACCTGTAAAACTCTGCTCGTTTTGACTTTGGGGAATGTCTTTTAAAAATCTGGTTTCCAACACATACCCTGCAGCAGAATTATTATAGTTAGTTTCAGCCCACTCCCACAAGTAAAGTAAAAGGTTGGATATATTTTCTTGATTTTAATGCACATGCAAGATGCACAAAGGCCAGCAGACTGAGTCCCTACCACCTTCCCCTGTGAAGTGAGTAACACGCTTGAGAGTTTCAGGTATAAGTACAGTACTGCCAGATACATTGCAGGATTATGTCTGCAATTCAGAGCACATGTACTTGGCAAGGAAGCCTCACATTGAGACTTCCAAGTCTTGTAGAAACATGCAGATGATCAGGCTGCCAAGCACCTATCCTATGCAAACTTAGCTCGGAGTAAGTCCCACTGAAAGCCATAGTGGGACTTGCAGAACAAAAGCCCCTCCCTTTACTGGGAAGCAGAGCTGCAAACTTAACCCTTACTGACAAGGGAGTAAAATCCCATTTAATTCCATAGGATTTACTTCTGAGTAAGCACGGTCAGGATCGTGCTGCAAACCTCTCTAAACTAAATGGGAGTAACGCGTGTTTAGGATTGCGCCTTACTTCTGAAACCAACCGAGCCCGGGATGGGGCTGCAAACAACCCCCCCCCCCTTTTTAACTAAAGTCGCCTGGTTATGGCTCATTTAAATACTCAGCAGAGAAGAGGCTTCATCATATATGTTTTTTGTAAGGGGGCGGCTTTTTCCCCTTGCGGGAAGAGGGGCGTTTACAAAAACACAGGGGGCTCCAATTCCCTCCCCCCTTTTTTTTGGAACCCCACTTTATTTTGCACGTCCCCTGAAACCCCTCTATAGTAGTTCAAAAACCTTTTAAAAAAATAATTTTTTTGAGGGGAGGGAAGGAGGACATGCGTTTGTAGGAGCGGGTCAGGGTAACCCGAGCGAAGCCGAGCTGGGGGGTCCCTGGGCGAAAGTGATCGCGCGGGGGCGTGTGAAGCGGGTGGGTGGGTGTACTTGCCGTCACTTGGGGGGGGGGCGTAACCCTCCCGCTCCTCCACCGCTGGCTGGGGGGGGTGTCAATTTGCAGCGGGAGCTCCTCCTCCCTCCCTTCCCTTCTCCTCCTCCCTCCCGGCCCCTCGCTCTCGCATTCCCGACCCTCCCCGGGTGGGCTAGGCAGGGGACCCCGCCAGCGGCTGCCTCGGAGCAACTCTCGGGATCCTTTTCCTTCCTCTCCCCCCCCCCACGCCGCCTCCGGGGTGCCGCCTCCCCCTCGACCTCCTCCTTTTCCCGCCTATCCCGTTCCCTCGACTCCGAAAGAAGGAGAGAAAGAAAGAGAGGGAGGAGGAGGAGGAGAAGAGGAGCTCTTCGGCGCCTTCCTCTCTTCCGGAGAGTGTCAAAACTTTGTTCGGGCGGAGGCGGCGGCGGCGGGACGGGGCTGCGTCGAGAGGCCGGGCTGAGGCAGGCGGGGTGCGGGGAGCGGCCCCCCGCCGCACCGGGACCCCGCCGCACCATGCCTCAGCTGCAACCGGCCGGCGGAGGTGGCGGCGGAGGCGGCGGCGGAGGCGACGACCTGGGCGCCCCGGACGAGCTCATCCCTTTCCAGGATGAAGGCGACGAGCAGGACAAGGGCTCCGGGGGCCGCGGCTCGGCGCACGGCGACTTGGACGAGCTCAAGTCGTCGCTCGTGCACGAGTCCGAGAACCGCGGCGGAGGGCAGCGCCTCCGGCTCCGATTCTGAGGTAAAAAGTTGATGGCGGAGGGAAGGGCGACAAAAGAGAGCGAATGTGGGGAGGGAGTGGGGGAGAGGCTGCTGTTTTGAGTCGGGGGGGGGGAGGGAACGGGAGAGCGGGGTGGGGGGGCTTCGTCCCGGGCAAACGCCTCAACCCGCCCCCCTTTGTGCCTTTTTCCCCCCCCACAGGCGGAGAGGCCGCCTCAGCAGCCCCGGGAAAGTTTCCAGAAGCCGCGGGACTCTCCAGCCGAAGGTAGAGGAACCCTCTTTAAATATCTATCTCTATATAATATATATATATTTGCGCCCCCCTCCCCAACCTCGAAATGAGAGGGGGGGAAAGGCAGCGTTGTGGGGCGGCGGCGGCGGCGGGGGTCGGAGGAGAAGGGGAGATGGCGCTCTCTCCTCAGAAGACGGAGGACCCGCGGCGGCGGCGGCGACTCGTTTCCCCCCCGCCTCGCCTTCACTTTTCTGGAATGAGGAGGAGGAGGAGCTTCCCTTGGCCGCGCCGTCCCGTCTCCTCGCTGGCTTTTGTTGCTGCCCCCTTTTGGCCCTGATCCTGTGTTGACTCCAAAGAGGCCCTGAATCGCGAGTCGAGATTTGAAATCAGGGCGACGCGCTTTTCTATGTGGGTCGCTGCTTCTCTCTCTCTCCCCCCCCCCCCAACCCCCGCCGTCCTGAAGTTCTCTTGCTCGCAAGTTGAGCTGCCATAAAATTTAACGAGGCATTCTCGGCGGGCCTTTGCCGTTTGAGTAAACACCGCCTATCATCTGACTGCGGAGCTGCGATCCTGTTTACGGGGGGAGAGATTTCCAGTTAGCGGGATTTACTTTGGATTCCGCAGATAACAGCCGCTGAGTTGTATGGAGATGAGTCCGTAAAGGAAGTAGGTGCAAGATTGCACCCAGGGATATTTGAATTATTGGGATTATATGGGCCTGATCGGGTTTGGTATGCTGGTGTTGGGGCCACGGTTAGCCAGCATTAAGTGGCAGAGCTGCTGTGGAGTTAGACCTGTTGAAGTCCTTGCCTTTGAGGAAACACACAAATAGAAGTTCTTGTGGTACTTCTCAAGATTATTGTGACGTATGTTATACCACAGGAGGACTCCAGTCCTATCAATACTTGCTGGGAATAAGCCCCGTTTAGGTACAGTGGGGCTTACTTCCGAGTAAACATATAGGAGTGTGTAGTAAGTCTATCATTTTTTGAGCTTCCTATAACAGATTAGCCAAATCTGTTGCTGTACTTCTGAATAAACAGATTTAGGGTTGGTGTGAAGTACAGCAGAACTTTATGCATGTTCATGCAGAAGCAAGCCCTACAGAATTCAAGTAAACATGGGATTGCAGGTTTCCATAGAAGTAAGCCCCTTTGGGTTTAGGAGGATATACTTACATATAAATACAGAACTCAAGTTTTATGAAAGGAAAGAAAAGATTGGAGATCTTGGATTGAGGGAGTAGGAATTTGTACATCAATATTTGTACTTACCAAATAACTTTTTGGTTCCTCAGCCTTTTTTAATAGTCACAACCCATTGAAAATTTAAGATTGCAATCCAAAGCATATTTTCTTGGAAGCGTTATTCCACTGAAAACAATTGTTCTTATTTCTGAATAAGAAAACATAGATTGGGTTTTAAACAAAATTAAAAACCCAATGTAAGCATCTTTCCTCAGAAATAAGTCCCATTTAATTCAGTGGAATTACTCCCTTGTTGATTGTTGCCTTAAATCATTTTGGTTATGCTTTATATTCTTTCAGCCACCCTTTTGGGATGTCATCTCTCTTTGCTTCTTCCACTTTAGTTTAATTGCATACCTGTGAGTGCAGTTGAAGTTGTAATCCACATTAGTGTTTGCTTGTATCTAAGAAAACAGTTATTCTTGAAAGATTTAACCTGTAATGCAGTGGTGTAATTTTATCTACTTGTTAGTACAGATTTTTAAAAATATTTACATTGACACATATCTTCCTGATTTCATTGTGACTTAATAATGTAAGTCAGCTTTGCAATTGTCTTCTAGTAACCTTTTTGTACGCAGCAGGTTTTCAGTACCCTGCATTCCATTTTAGTATTTTATGACCTAAAAATAAAACAGCAACAACCACCCCATTACTTTTTGTAATGCTTCCTTGCTTGGTCATCTGGAGGTCATGTTTACTAACCACAGAAACCCAGCTGTTACCAAGTATGAAGTAGGTGCTTAATATTACATGCAGAAGTATATGTATACTTTTATTCTTACTTGGGAGTTTTGTTTTGCCCCCAAGTAAAAACAAAAGTGTACATCAGTTGCATGGGCATAAATTCAGTTGCAGGTAAATACTGTCAATTCAAGTAAGACCTGAGTGCTATATTGACTGCAAAATAGAGCACATACACATAAGATGCCTTAGATGGTTTGTAAATCTCACATTTTATTTCTTTCTGTTCTGTAATTCTAGTTAACCCTACCTTCCTTAATCCCTAGGGCTGCATTTTGAAACAAACACTGTGTTTGCAGCCTTTACTCTGTGTAGCTAAGAGTCTTTTTCTTCCCTAGTAATCAGAAGACAGCAAGATGGAGGCTTCTTTAAAGGGACTCACTATCCAGGTTATCCCTTCTTGATGATCCCAGAGCTAGGAAGCCCCTACCTGCCCAGTGGAGCCTTGTCCCCAGGTGGTGCTCGCACAGTAAGTGCTTTGTTTTGGTTTGAGATATTGGTGTGATTAAAGTTTTTCTTCCTCTTCTATAAAGGCGAATTGTGATAGATGGTGTTCCTTTATGCCCCTTTGCCCCACTGAAGAGTTCTGCATTACTGCTGATATCACAGAATAATAAACATCATTTGAGGAGAACTCTTGTTACATGCAATGTTAAAGATATCTCTTTTCCAGTGAGGAAGTTTGGAGATAGGCAATCTCCTGAATAATTTCTCTGCTCATTTTCAACTTAATGATTTACAGTGCTGAAGAGTTTTCATCTGTTTGAGTTGAAGATAAATTTTGTTTTAATGGGTTTTATCCTTTCGCTCCCTACCCCACCCAATTTCACTGTTTAAATGAGTGTGTAGGCTGTTGCTACAGAGAGTTGATAGGCTCAAGAAATGTGTGTGAATTTCATCATCTTTCTTCAATTTTTCTGTGGAGTTCATTTATTTGTGATCAGAGTTCTGGGGAGGGAAAGGAGTGGGCGTGTGTCCATTTAGAATTCAGTTGAAAGGATTAGATCCAAGAGAAGTTACCCTTGGCATTGTTGAAGTAAATAATATCAGCGAATGACATTTAAAGTCTATTTAGGTACTGATAGGCTTAGAGAGGAAGTTTGTTAAAATTAGCATCTCTTATTTGCACTCCAATAATAACTGCCATGAAATCAGCTAACTTAGAAACATTATTCTTTAGCACTCATTTTCAAACTGCATTCCAAAGAAACCTTGTTTAGTTTAGGCATGCCATCTTGGGGGACTTATGCTACCACTGTGCATCACACACATTGTGCACCAACAGAGGAGTTTTGCTTATGTTTTGGGATGCACTCTTGGTTCTTGCATCCTAACAGTGATTCTCAACAGACCTGTGTAAAATATGTGTGTTTCTTAGAACAAGCCATCTAGAATCCCCTGCTGTGTATCCAGGTGTTCTAAACTGGATGCATGGAGGTTCTTGTTTAGACTAGTTCATGGTGGGTGGCCAAAGATGCTTAATGAATATGATCTGCTGAGGCAGTGTCTGGAAGTGAGTACCTGCACTTGTTATATGATCACATAAAAACATTGAATGGCATAAGATTGCTTTGCTGTTTATGACAACTTGGTTGCACGAGCGTAAGGGGTGTTTCAACATGCTTATATTTATTTAACAAAAATTATAGCTACTTTCTTAGTGAAACAATCTCTAGTTGTGCTTATTGGAGGTAAAGTTTCTCCAACAGGATTTAAAGGTCTGCCTATTGGGAGAAGGGTTTAAGAAGTGCCTTTTATAACTAAGCTTCAGTCCTCCTAATATCAATCAATAACAACTGTTAAAACTACAGATAATGATGAGCAGGGTATTCTAAGGCTTTATGCAGATATAACTCTGCTGATCATTGATAGACCAAGAGTGAGCTGGTTTGCAAGTTCTTTTTAAAGCTAATCCTAGTCATTGTTATTATTATTACATTTATTACACTCTGTTCACCAGAAGGTCCTAGGGCGGGATACAGCATTAAAAACAGTTTAAAACAAATTAACTACAGATGTAATGCTACATCATGGTACATTCTGATAGATGGAAAATAGGAATTTGTATACAAGAAAGGAAGTGACTTTACTATGTCTAAGATTAACTGTAACATCAGCCTTTTCAATCTGGCATCCTCCAAATGTTTTGGATTAAACTCCCATCAACCCCAGTTATCATGGTGAGAGTGTCAGGATGATAGGCATTGTAGACCAAAGCATCTGGAGGGGCAGCAAGTGAACAACTATCTGATCAATACAAGAAACCAAACGCTTATCAATTTCAATGT